ACACTATACCTCATGTGACTCTTAAATCTCCATTTTCTCAGCTTTTTCCTGTCTTTTGAACCCCATTCATTCTAGGCTGTGCTGTACCTTGAGGAGCAGGGGCCAGTAAGAGCAATGGGGACCAGAAGGTGAGAGTAAGAGGTGGTCAGGGTATAATCTCCCTGGTCCTGCCTACTCCATCAATGACTGTTTATCTCTGCAGCTCCTCGAACCAAGCTCAGTCAGCACTGCTGCTCAGCTCACCGTCCCTGGAGACAGAGGTGGTCCAGCCTTCCCACTGATGCTGGTTCCTGGATCTTCAACAGCTCTTAGCTGCTTACTTTCCCCTTCTCTGACCTCTATAAATAAACTGTTAAAATGATTTATCTTCTTACCATGTATATGTATGTGTAGCTGCATGAGTTTATGTGCACCATGTGCCTTCAGATGCCCTCACAGGTCAGAGGGCATCAAACCCCTTGGAATTGGAGTTGCAGGTGGTTGTGTCCTGTCTGGTGTGCCACGAAGAGACTCTGGTTCCTCTGCAAGAGCAGTAAACACTCTTACCACTCTGTTTCTCCAGCCCCTGTAATAGTCTTTTTTAAAAAGGAATGATTTATTTATCTTATGTATACTGTAGCCATATGCTGTACACTATAGCTGGCTTCAGACACACCAGAAGAGGGCACCAGATCCCATTACAGATGGTTGTGAGCCACCATGTGGTTGCTGGGAATTGAACTTAAGACCTCTGGAAGAGCAGTCAGTGCTTTTAACTGCTGAGCCGTCTCTCCAGCCCCACCACTGCCCCCTATAATAATCTTGTTTCCTAGTTTTCCCTTCTTTCTGACTGAATGTACTCTCTCCTTCCTGTTAGGCCACTCACTCCTGCGTGGGTTATCTTTCCCTGGAGCAACTGCTTCCCAGACCAGGCTGGCCTCGAACTCAGAAATCCGCCTGTCTCTGCCTCCCAAGTGCTGGGATTAAAGGTGTGCACCACCACCGCCCGGCACTAACCTTGTTTTTTGGCTTCTGTAGTTCTACTTCTAGCTTACCTGTTCTTGTTAACTGAAGTATGCCAACCCAGGACATGGTTTTTGCACTTAAAATTTCACCCTGAGAAAGACCCACTGTTACACTGGGATCCCAAATACCAAGTATAGTAGCTGGCCAGCTAATAAAGACTTCCCATTGGCTTAAACCCATGTCCAAGCAGTTTTCTCTGGTGGATACCTCACTACCATAGGCATGTGCCACCATATTCTGCCTTCCTCTTAACGTCTCTGATTCTGTCCCTTCCTTTAGACATCCCTGGTCAGTGCTTTGATTAGGCATCCATTATCCAGTATCTTCCTCTGGCCTCTGCAGGCACACCTCTCTCTCTCTCTCTCTCTCTCTCTCTCTCTCTCTCTCTCACACACACACACACACACACACACACACACACACACAGAGTCCATATACAGACAAACATATACACATAAAATGTTCCTTGAAGTTGAGGGTATAGTTCAATGGTAGGGCAGTTGCCTAGCCTGTGTGAGGCTATAGGTTCTATCCCCAGTACAGAACATAAATACAATCTGAGTCTGACTTCATGTTTAAGCTCTCTCCGAGTCCTTCCATGTCTACAGTGTAAAGTCTGGATATTTCTCTGGCAGCCTTGTAAGGCTCTTCCTGGCCTGACACTCTTTGTGCACAGTTCTGAACTTCAGTGGCTTATCTTCTATGTCATCTCTGAGAATTATTATTTTTCTTTTCTAGAACTCTCCCACGCAGGGAAGTCCTCCCTGATCATGCTGCCAGAGTCTTGGGCAAACCTTTAGTGGAAGACTTTATTCTTTGGCTTGTCAGTACCAGGAGGACAGGCACCAGGTTAACCTACTTCTCCACTCTCAGGACCTGGCACAAGGCCAGTCATCCTCAACATACTTTGAATAGATAATCAGAGACTGGCGAACCCATTGCACCAGGGCTAAGGTACATCCAGTTTGTGTGCAGAGCCTAGGAGCTTATGACTAAGCCCAGCGCTATCAGATTCCTCAGTTGTTGTAGAGTACCAGGCCTGGGTCACACTAGAGTGTGATCCAGGACAATTCCGAGCAAAGTAACTGAGATCCAACAGAGAGACCTTTCCCAGAGAACTGAGAACACATGCTGGACTCAGTCACATACAGGAAGTCAGGACGGGGAGGAGGCATGGGTAGCCCAGGAGAAAGAGCAGGGTGGCTGTCACAGGCTCCCTGGCAGAAACCCAAGTAGGAGGAGGCCAGGACTCATTCATCCAGGGCCAGCCCAGGGAAGACTGCCTAGCAGGCTGGCCCAGCTTAGGCCAAGCCACCAGGGGAGGGGATTTCCTCTGGCTCCCTCCCCCTTAGAAACCTGTCTGGACAATTTTAGTTCTAGGAGGGCAGGAGGAGAGCCTGGCAGGCTGCGGCTTGGGCCTCCAGGCAGCTCAGTTGGCTGCTTGACGTGCAAGATTTGACTGCAGTGTGGGACTACTGTGCCTCGGCCTCCCTAGGTAAGATGCCGGGGTTGGGGGACTGGCGGTGAGAGGCTGAAGCAGGAAGTTGGTGGCAGAAATTCTAGGTAGCTCCCTAAACCTGCTGACGGCCAGATGAGAGGAAGGAAGGGTTCTGCTTCCAGAATCAACCTTCCAAAAGAACCTAGAGTGGCTGCTTCGGGTTTTGAAACTTTTCGAAGTTGGCAGCGCTCTGGAAACGGCCTGGGAGACGACCTGGGAGTTTAATTCTGCCACCCCACTGCACTGTTGAAGCAAGCACCGCTTCATTACTTTCTCCCCAGCATCCTCAGGCTCCCAGGGCTTAGTTTTATTCTGGTCGGGAGGAATGGTGGTGGTGGTGGTGGTGGTGGTGGTGTGTGACTATGCCAGCCACACCTGCAACTAGACGGGCGATTGCCTGTCTCACCGTCTGAGCCGGGATACCTGTGCTTCCCCAGCATCTACCTGCTTCTGCCCAGAGACTGCCAGGAAGAGGTTTCAGCTCTTCCAGCCAGGCAGCTCCTCTGTGTACCATTTCCTCCTTCCTGCTATGAGCACCTAAGGGATTTACCTCAAGCAACCGGTCGTTTATTTTTGGTCATTTGTTTACTCACTACTTGAGCACACACTTGAGTTGTCAGGAGGGAGGAACGTGTCCTTTCTGCAGTGAATACAAAAGTTGAAGTTTATCCACGCGTATCTACACGTTGACAGGCAGGCAGCAGGGCATGGCCAAGTCACAGGCCTGGATTGCTAACCCTGTCATCTATTTACTTCCTGGACCTCAGCATCCTTGACTGTAAGGTCCTGGTTTTGTTTGTTTGTTTTTTGTTTGTTTTTAAAGATGATAAGGAACTGTATGAATCAAGGACAGGCTGGGTGCTTGGCACCCAGTGGGGCCTGGATAAACTTCTGTGCTTTCTTCTTCTTTGCCCCTCCCTAACTGGCACCTCCCTTGCTGTAGGCTTGTAAAGATATAGAGGACAAACCCTGGCCTTGACAGGTGTGTAGGTGGCTTGTAAATTGAACTGAGTGGTGGAGGCTGGTGCTCTAGGGGACGGGAGGCCAGAGATGTCAAGGAAGGAGACCGGCCTCTGGTTGAATGTACAAACACCGGGCCAGGGCTGGGACCAGACCGTAATGTTGTGTTTCTGACTTGAGAACTGTCAGAGACATTATTCTCCTCCAATATTTAAGAAAATTCTATTTTATTACTTCTTTTTGAAACAGGGTCTCACTATGTTATCTGGGCTGGCTTAAAACTCACTGTGTAAACTAGGCTGGCCTTGAACTTCCAGAGATCCTCCTGCCTCTGTCTTCTCACTGTGCCACCATTCCTAGCCTTCCTTTCCCATTAAACATTTGTTTGACAATTTTGAGCATTTATGAAATAAATTTTAGTCATTTTCACACACCCTCTTCACCTTCTTCATCCCCTTCCTCCCACTGGTATTCTTCCTCAGTGACTCTCCCTTCTATATCAGTGTGTGGCCGACTGAATTCAGAGTTATTTGCTGAGTGGGGGGTGGGTTTTATTTAGTGTCAAAAAGACCAATTATCCGTGGCACACTACAGAAGAAAATGATGCCCCTTCCCCAGCAAGTGGTGACTGCCTATTGTCCCTCAGTCTCAGTTGAGTCTGGCACTCAGCCATCTCAAGTGCATGATCTTGGGCTTGTGCAGATCTGTAACCTCAGCATTCAGGAGGCTGAGTTCCAGCCGAGTCTGGGCTACACAGAGAGACCTTGCCTCAGATATCAAACCAACCAAACACAAGATATTCCTTCATTAACCCAAAACCTTGCTATACTACTCTCATCCCCATAGGATTTATCTAAGGTCACATGGGTAATAGATAATGGATCTAGGATTCAAATCTGTGGATCAGACTCCATGCAGTCTGCACAGTTCCTTGATGTCTTTCAAGGCCCCTGAATAGAGGGCAGAAAGGGAGGCGTCATAATCACTTCTGTTCTGAGCTGGGTTTTTTTTGGGGGGGGGAGGGTTTGGTTTTTGGAGACAGGGTTTCTCTGTGTTGCCCTGGCTGTCCTGGAACTCACTTAGTAGACCAGGCTGGCCTCGAACTCAGAAATCCGCCTGCCTCTGCCTCCCAAGTGCTGGGATTAAAGGCGTGCGCCACCACTGCCCGCCTGTTCTGAGCTGTTTTATTCAAGTGGGAGGAGACACTCTTGTAGTCGTTCCTCATTCATTCATTCATTCATTTACTTATTCACTTATTCATGTGCCCTATCTGTCCTAGGAGACCTAAAGGTCCCAAAAGGGTGGTAATTAGCCTGGCATGACGATTCATGCCTGTAGTTCCTGCACTTGGGAGTGGCAGCAAGAGGATTTTGTGAATTTGAGGTCATCTCAGGTTACATAGCAAATATTAGACCAGGTAGGGCTACACAGCAAGACCCTGTCGCAAGTGAGCAAAACCACAACAACCTGGGCAAACCAAGGGGCCAGGGATAGTATCTGCACCATCACATAACGGTGTGCCTTCTATGCTCTTACTATAAAAGTGCTCAGTGAGCCGGGCAGTGGTGGCGCACGCCTTTAATCCCAGCACTTGGGAGGCAGAGGCAGGTGGATTTCTGAGTTCGAGGCCAGCCTGGTCTACAGAGTGAGTTCCAGGACAGCCAGGACTACACAAAGAGACCCTGTCTCGAAAAACCAAAAAAAAAAAAAAAGTGCTCAGTGAGCCTTTGTTAGTAGACGAAGCTGAGCGATAGCCAATGGTGCGTCCCCTGGACTGTGTGATGGGGATGGGAGATGACTACAACAGAACTCTCGTACTGAGGATGCCTATAGTCTGTGAAGAAAGCATCCCAGACACAGCAGAGGCTGGTGAGCCACCTTAGAGGGGCCCTCACCTCGGCCATGTCTGCTACGTTCCCTGCTGCAGTGAGGCTCCGACACATCCACAATGCCGGGTAGATGGCAAGGCTTTGTAGAAGAGATGTAAAGGGACTCAAACTGGGACAACAAATCGGGAGGGAAGATGTTCCACAGAGGGCAGAACTCATGAGGAGACCAACTGGAGAAGGGGAACCTGGCCTGCTCTGGCTCGGTGTGGTCACAGTACAGAGTGTAGTGTGGGGGGGGGGCAGAATGGGTGAGCAAGAGATGAGAGTGGCTGGAGATATAGATCAGTTGGGAAAGTGCTTGCCTGGCATACAAAGGCCCTGGGTCCCATCCCTAGTGCTTCATAAACCAGGAGCAGTGATAGAGCCAGCAATCCCAACACCCAGGAAGTGGATACAGGACAGTCAAATCCAAGGCCATACCCTCGGCTACATACTAAGTTTGAGACCAGCCTCCAGTACATGAGGCTGAGAGGCTGTGGAGATGGTCAGTTGGTAAAGTGTAGGCTCCATATTATGAGACTGATCTCCCAGACTATGTGATACCACATAATTGTTATCCTAACTCAGCTCTATCGGGTGGAGACAGGAGCATCTCTGGGGCCCGCTAGGTAGCTAGATAGCCTCATCAGTGAGTAGTCACAATGTCAGCATTGCTCACTGTTCCTGACTAGAGATTCAGTCTGATCAGGTACTTCTAGCTCCCACTGCCGTGGCTTCTGGCCATGAGAGTCTGAAATGTCAGACTGTGACAAGAGAAACATTTTCTCCTTTAAGTTGCTTTGCCATGTATTTTGTCACAGCAAGCCACTCGTACAGGCAGTAAGAATCCTGTCTTAGCTAGGGTTTCTATTGTTGCAGTCAAACACCATCACCAAAAAGCAAGTTGGGAAATAAAGGGTTTATTTGGCTTATATTTCCATAATGCTGTTTACCACTGAAGGAAGTCAGGACAGGAACTCAAATAGGGCAGGATCCTGGAGGCAGGAGCCGACGCAGAGGCTGTGGAGGGGTGCTGCTTCCTGGCTTGCTCAGCCTGTTTTCTTATAGAACTCAGGACCACCAGCCCAGGATGGCCCCACTCACAATGGGTGAGCCCTCCCCATCATTCACTAATTAAAGAAATGCCTTACAGCCAGATCTTACGGAGGCATTTTCTGAATTTAGGTTCTCTCCTTTCAGATAACTAGCTTACGCCAAGTTGACATAAGATTAGCCAGTACAAACCATTGTCCAAGTTTGGTCTGAATATTTACATAAGCTTATTTTTCCATGAAAATTCTTAGAATAGTGTCCAGCTCATAATTAGTATGAGTGAATATACTTAAGTAAAATCAGTACCATAAGCTTGTAGTAAGGTGTAGTCCCTTCCAGATTGGGATACAGGTTGGGGGTGTAACTCAGTGACACAGTGCTTGCTTACCATTTGAAAAGCCCTGGGTTCCAACCTCATAACTTAAAAGAAAAAGAAAGAAAGAAAAAGAGAGAGAGAGAAAGAGAGAGAGAGAGAGAGAGAGAGAGAGAGAGAGAAGGAAGGAAGGAAGGAAAGGAAGGAAGGAAACATAAGGTTCGGCGCGATGCTCAGGTTACATGCCCTTAGTGAGGTTACGTGCCCTTAAGTGATGAAATCAGGATTTGTATTCAGTCACTTTGAATTTCTCCAGAAATTGGGTTCTTAGTCATCATGTCAATCTGTTAATTCTAAGGTCCTTTGGTCTTTATTTATGGATGGTAAAATTAGAACTGAGAAGAGCCAACCTGGGAGGTGGAAACGGGAAGATCAGGAGTTCAAGGCCAACCTTGACTACAAAGCCACAGAAGACTTTGGGCTACATGACACTCTTTCTCAAAAACCCAAAAACCCAAGTGAAGTCTAGTGGTAAAGAGTTCTGATCACAGTAGTTCAAGACCAGCCTGGGCAACTTAGTGAGAGTGTCAAAAAGTTAAGAGAGCTGGGGAAACAGCTCAGTGGTAAAGCACTTCTTCAGTACCCATGAAGCCCTGGGTTTGATCTCTAGAACCCTTCCACAAGTACAAGAAAAGGCATAGCATTTCAGAGTTCCTATGGGACTCAGGGGCAAAACAATGGGTAAACAGCAGACGTGGACTTTTTTTGGCGGGGTTAGCTCCTGGTCTGGATTAGGGGAAGTG